AATACACCAACAGCCATGGCTTCACGAGCCTGTGTACCATCGGGCAACCCTGGCCTTCTCCGAAGCCCTGGCCTCAAGTTCCACACACTGTTACTAAACACACAGAAGAGCTAACGAGCACATGAACACAGCATCTCACCTGACACCTGACTATATGCTGTTACTGGTTTCTACAAAGAGCTAGGCTGGCTGAGGACTGTCACCGAGGGGGCCACGTTCTGAATCATCCATGCACTTCCTGCTCTTGATTCTCCAAGTAAATACAATATCCTGTCCAAGCCAAACTCTGTCCTAAGAAATAAAATGAGTTTAAAACCCAGTAAAGCATCGTCTCACTGCATGACCGTGGCTATGAACTGCATACCTGAGTTGGGATAGAGGCAGACGTCATTAATGTCATGTTCTGGCTCCAAGGAAGTAAAGATTTTCCCCTAAAAGAGTAAACAAAAAGGAATTATTAAAATAAAGGAAGACGGCTTTTGGCAATGCCACATAATGAAAACATACTGGAGACATAACCACATACTGGTATGGTATGTAAAGAAATAAAATCGCTGAATTAACATCACAGATTTTAAGTTTAAAAACTCTTAGAGAAAAATTGATAAACTCATTTTATCAATTTATCAAATGCTCTCATTTTAGAGACAAAGAAACTGAGGCCAAGAAAGGAAAGCTGACTTAACCAAGAAAATAAACACAAAGTTTTAAAGATAATATCTACACGGCAGGACAGGGTAAAGTTTAAAATAAAGTTGTACGCCAACTTAAAAAATATTTCTCTAATCTGAAAAACATACCCCAGTTAAACTTGCACTCAAAGCAACTAAAAGAGAGATGGCTGACATGGTAAAATGATGACGATCCCTGCCATACTTCTATCTCAAGGTTTTGAGGGGGATCAAATAAGAAAATGGGTATAAAGTAACTTACAAAGCGAAATCTCATTCGTACATCAAGTGTTAGTGATGTAGTTAACCCTAAAACGTGTATTTTACGTGTGAGGGGAAGTGTACTCCTTTTTAGAAAACCGAGAAGAAAAGCGAGAGAGGAGAAGATGGGAATGGAAAACGGTGACGAGAAAGATAAACAAGGGAAGAAGTGAGGCGAAACCGAGAAACATGGGTGTGGGTCCCGAGGGCGGACGCAGTCGCGACGCTGCCGACATCAACATGCAGCAGCTGCAGAAGGACTGCTTCGAGAACTGGCGGTGAAACGCCTACAGCTCCCGCATGCAGGAGCTAGGAGCTCACGGTCAGGGATGCCCGTGGCGGTGGCGGGCGGAGGGGGGAGGTAACAGTTAAAGTACAGGAAGGATGGTTATGTTTGGTGGAAAACGGCAGCCCAGTTCTAATCCAAGACAGTGACATTCACACAGCTACCTCCCTTTCTTCTCAAATTCCCACTGAAACCGGAAGGAAAGAGGGAAGAAAAAAGGAAGGGGACAAAGGGAACTACAATTGCATGGAATGAAAAGGAAAAGGTGCCACGGTGAGCGGAAAGCCACATTATGGAAAATCGTGCAGCAGTTAAAGGGCCTGGGAGGTCACAACCAAACCAACGACCGCCGTGACCCTGAGGTAGGATGCGAGTCAGGTCAAGGACAACTTCTACTTTACTTGTATTTTGTGAATTTTTAAAAATAAAACGTCTGCATTTGTAGTATTAAAAATAAATACTGCTTTAAAGCAAATTAGTTTGGGTTCTCAGAAAAGAAGCAGAGAAAATTCCAGCTTAAGACACCATGAATCGTCCTGAGAAAACCCTCGAAACCCTCCCAATACTTTGGGAGTGAACGAAATGAAAATTAAAAAAAGCAATGGTCAGAGCAGCCAGGGACTGACAAGCGGCTGAATCGTGACGGGGCTGCTGGCGGCGCCTCTGGCCTGAGCACAGGCAGCTCTCCGGAGTGAGACCGTCACCTGCCCTCTCGCCGCCAACGCCGAGGCCACTGGACTCACTGTCCCATTCATCTCAAAATGAAAAGAAAAAAAAAGCGACACTTTTTGTCTGAAGGTGCTAACTTTGCAATTAATTAAATGCTAAGAACTCTTTAAAGCAATTGCTAAACTGAATGATTTTCTTCCCATTTAGTTGCTAAACTAATGTTTTACTTCTCCAAAATACTTAGGTTTTAAAGTGAAAAGCAGAAGACAGATTAAACCAGCAATACAGAATTTTGTTACTTTCTAAATCATACCTGGAGCTGAGAGAACATCAAACATTCTTAAGAAAATAGTTTTTAATAAAAACACTATCAAAAATTATTGTCAAGATGTCATTTCTAAAATCGAAGGTGGGGAAACGGTGTGAAATGGGGGTGTGTGGTGACGCTGACGTGGAGAGATGACTGGTGGTCGCTCCGAACTTTTCGAAGGCTGCGGGAGCGTGAGATCTCGGGGGTTTCTTGTGGATCAGGTTTTTCAAATAATGATTTACTCTCTACCTAACTGTCCAGGTAAAGACGCATGCCGGTTCCAGCAAAGCAGGAACACTTCTAAACACGAAGAAAGCAATCTTGACGACTCCATGTAAACATGGATATTATCTATCCCGAAGAAACTGACTTCCAACTAAGCTCCCCAGTGAAGACTTAATCTCTTTCTCAAGAACTCATATTATTCAAAAAAGGCAAGAGAAAGGGAACGTTAGGAAAATATGCAAACAATTTCAACAAAAGAAAATACGTACTGAGTTCTTATTCCACATTTTGATAATTCGTGAGTCTGCAGACAAAATCAAATCTAATGAATCCTGGAAATGAACTGACTTAATGGGCAGCCCATATTGGTGATCCTTTACTAGCAATGGTTTATCAGATCGAAGATCATATAATAAAACCTAAAAGAAAAAAACAAATTATTTCTGTGTAAATAAACAAAATATTTTACATTAAACAGCAACTTTTAGAACTTAGAGGAATGGCTGCCACTTGTTTCGTTACCTTTTTATGAACACAATGAACATCCTTACCCAGGTACAAAGATTCTAAAGTCAGCCAACAAAACTGCTCTAGAAATACCTGTAAATTACCTTAGGGGGCATGGTTTTATGAATTCACCCCCTGAGAATAATGTTTAAGCACAGTACGGTTAAAAACTACTGAGCCAATCTAAAAAAGGAACAGAAAGTCTGTAACAACGTGTGTCATTTGTTTACTCAACAAATATATATACTGAGGGCCTGCCATGTACCAGGTGCTGTCACAGCAAGAGACAGAAACAAGAATGAAAGGCACAGAGACGATGGTTCTGGCAGATTCGAGGCAGACGGTAGCAGCAAAGCTAGGACTGCAGGCAGGTGGGGGTGGGAGGGTGGGTTAGCCCTGTTATTAGAGGCAAGGAACCTGGGGAAGCCAGAGCGTTGTTCCAGGTGACAGATCCTCCCTAGACCATGGTGACAGAGGCGGTGACTCGACCAGGAGCAGGGTCTCAGACTGTTCCAGGGAAGAGCAAACTTACAAGCGTGTAGGCTCTGCCTTGAAGGAAAGAGAAAAGATGGACTTCGGCCTCTGAGGCTATTCCATTCACTCTCCTCAGGCCAGCATTTGTGGGGGCTGCGCCCCTGGCTACCACCGCCCGAGGTTTGGGTAATGGTGCTAAGGGAAACAGGTGCCCGGGGCACACAGGTTTTAAGAATAATCATTAAACATATTTCTTGTCTATGGGAATTCTCAAAGCCTTCAATACATATTCAGATGCACTGTGACTTTCCCACAGCAAGAATGTGGCAGAATTCCAAGCTTCTGTGACCACAGAATTCTCTTCCACACACTCCAGAAAATGATGCTCTACACCAGTCGAGAGGACGCAGGACTTGTGCCCACAGCAGCTCTCCTCAGGAGCGTCCTGGACCAGCCACCCAGGCCAGATAAGAGTTCTTCCAGGTGCTGAGAGCGCACAGCCCTCCGAAGTACTCGCCCCACTCTGGCCCAAACAACGATGCCTCAGTGTCTGTTCCCACGGTAAATACGTGGGTGAGTTTCCCACGACACACACACACTGAAATGCTAACTTAAGTGTGAAGTTTCTGACCTAAACATATTTAATATACATTACCTGCCCTGTGGATGTTCCAACTGCCATGGTCAAGGCACCGTTAAATTTCAACGCAGAGATTGTTGGTAAGCTGTTTATCCTGTAAGGCAAGATACTCGTCTTCCGTATACATATGGCCAACCCTTCCAAATAACAAATTCGTTAAGCTTCACTTCAATTCAAAAGGAGAAACTCGTATTTCTAGCCTTCTGCTTAAAAGGCAACTGTAGCCACACTTCCTTAATCAAAATAAAAAGTTTTATATATAATCTACCTTTAAAAATCTGTAAATAAACTTCTTCAAAAACTGCAAGAAATAATCTCAAAGTAGCTACAAACAACAAAAAAAAGCTTTTGAAAATATAAAACCAATGAAAAAGAATCAGTATGACAATATCTTTTAATTAAGGCAGGATAAGTTATTTATAGAAACATTCCCTTTTCTGCTTAAAAGGAAACAATATTTTACATTTAGGCATGGGCAGACCCATTCCCCTTTTTAAACTCAGCTATGTCAAGGTAAAGTAAAAGACGCGGGTCGAAATGGGGATCCTGGCATCTCCAAAAGTAACAAAGAATGATGAATGGTTATGGCCATGCATCCGGAATCTGCTTCTCATTTGGCAACCAAGACTCTCAGCACAGAAAGCAGCGATCTGTGGTGGAAAGGGTGCTAGACAGCAAGTCGGCAGCGGACGGATGGTCCTGATTTCAAAACTTACTATGTGTCCTCCGACCAGGTCCTAGAGCCCGGGCCATCGACTGCTAGCATCTCTGTGTCTCTTACACTACCTCAGGCCTCAGCCCGCAACTACGATGAAGCATCAGTGTAAAACCCCAAGGCCCTCATGCACATCACCTGCAGTCATTTACTCTTCAAAATGAACTCCCTAATCGATTTTCAGTGCAGTGATATGTTATTTTTCTTCGCTTATTCAAACTCTTTTGTTTCTTAATAAAATTTTTTCATTTTCTTCAGATAGGTACTTAAGTTAATTTCTCAGTATTTTACAATTTTTGTTATAAATAAGAACTGTTTCCATTGTATCTTTCTAAATGGATATTGCTGATAAATATCAAAGCCACTGATTTTGTACATTTACCTTGTAACGAATTTACTTAACTCTCATATTAGTTCCTATAGTTTTCCAATTGATTCTATTGGGTTTCTCGGGCAGATAATCATGTCATCCGCAAAAATGAGAGCCTGTCCTCCTCTTTCCAATATTTAGTTATTTCTTTCTCTTACTGTACTGGCTCTGCCTTCCAGAACTCCACTCTGTCAAATAACAGGTGACACCTTATAATGTTTGTGTAGGAAAAAATTAAGCTAAACCTAAAAAAATAAAATCACCTGAAACTAAATCAGCAAGAGAAACTACTTTTAACATTTTAGTACACATCCAGATTTCTTTCTCTATGACTATATGTACATCTTATTTTTTTTTAATGAAAATGTGATAAAACCCTATAGGCAATTGTATGACTTGCTTTTCCACTTAACAGTATATCCAGAATAACTTTCCTTAGAAATAAGTATGCTTTTGCAACACAACTCTTAATGGCTATGTATGCCATTGGTCGGTATTTCCTCATCTGTAAAATAAATACAATAACAGTACTTACATCAAAGGCTGTTGTTCTGAACATTAAGTAAGCTAATTTATGTAAAAAACTCAGAACACTACCTCGCAAATAGAAAATACTATCTGTTAGCTATTATTTCTACCAAACTGTATTTAATCAATATCCTCAGGATCTTTCTGATTACAGCAAATAACTCCAGGCCGGGGGTCTGACCAGGAGCGTGGGAGTTTGCATGCACGTAAATACACACATAGAAAAACGCCTGAGAACATATGTACCAAAACGGGCAATAGTAACCACTCTAGTGAGCGGGAAGGGCAGGAGGCTTATACCTCTTACCAATTCAGGCTGCCAGAGGTTTTCATCCCCCAAATGTGTACTACTTTTCTAACTGTTTTAAATGTAAGAAGTGGCAAACAGGAATAAGAAAATACCGAAACACTTGCTTCCCTCCACCTGAGAATTCAAGCATCTCTTTTTGCTCGTTAACTGCAGTGGTGGACGCTTGGTTCCATCACTAGAGCCTACAAAACTGGAAATATAAATTCCTACAGTGTATGTGTTTTAATAAAATTCCACAGCAACTAAATAAGCACAGTATTCTGTGTAGTACTTTAGAAAGGAATCCCATCTAGCTTACGTACCTAGTGAGCTTCTACAGGAAAGGATTTTTACACAGAACAATCACAGAAACTACAACCTCAGATGTAAGTCTAAAGAATTTTATCTTGAAGCAACTGATTTTAATTTAAAATAGAAACATCTGTTTATATCAGAAGCTGATGAATATTTAAAGTGCAAATTGACTTCTACTTACTCTGAATCTGCTGTGACGCTGCTTAATGCACAGTCTAAAAGGCCAACTCTACTTCGAGTTCGTGGGTCCCAGCACTCCACTCGACCCTAAGCAAACAAAAAACAGTAATTTTAAATAATGGCTGTTACTAGAAAATTTTTAGACAAACACCAAAAAAAAAAAAAAAGCCTTATTAACACTGATGATCTTCTGGGGAATAAGAATTTAACATTTTACAGTATACTCCTTTTAAATGTTAAGTGTTTCACTATGAGATGAGTTTCTTTTATAATAAAAAAAAAAAGAAGAAGAAAAAATGGTTTAGGAAAAAAGTCCAAAATATGAAGGGTGACTCTTGACTGGACCCTGGTTTGGTTGGTGGGGTGGAGGGGGAACGAGTTGTGACAGACATTTCGGTATAACCAGAAAAATCTAAATAGTTAAATATTATTGTATCGGTGTTAAATATTTAATATGTGAAACTGTATCAATGTTAAATTTCTTAAAGATAACAGTATGATTTAATAGGGGAAGTCCGTGTTTCTAAGAAAAACATTAGAAGTATTTAAGGCTAAAATGTCATGTCTGCAACTTATTTTCAAATGGTTCAAAAAACATGCTATATACACACATTTTTTAAAAAAAAGAAAGCAAATATACAAAATGTATATAAGTGATCAGTGAACTAAGTTTTAAACTTTTCAGAAGGTGTAAATTTTTAAAAAATAAAAATCTGAGGGAAAATAAAACAAAAAAATGAAAAAAACCCCTGCAAACAATGGAGCAATGGCATAATCCATTTAACAGAACACTACACAGTCATTCGAAAGAATGACGTAGATACACATGTACTAGGCATATGTCCACAATCCGTTACATAAAAAAGCAGTTTATTAAAAAACGGGATGATCCCATTGTCTTTTAAAAAAATGTCTGTGCAAAGAAAAACCTCTGCGAGGACACAGAACAAATTACTAACAGTGTTTACCTAAGGAAAAGGTTTGGAGTGGGGCGGAAGAGAACTACACTTCTCACTTTTTACCTTCTGTATTGTTTGATTTTGCAATGATAAAAAACCATAAACACACAAAGATTTTAAAAAACTGTTTACTATATTAACCAACTCAAAAGCAAGACCTCAAATATACTTGGAAGGCTAGATCTCACTAATCACTTCCTATTATTACAAATGTGTCTGTCACAAAGATAAATAAAAGAGATTTCTCATAGGTCATATAAATGGTCAAATATTCCATGTCTTCTTAAAATGAGTTAATAGACTTTACGGACATAAAAAAGAAAAGTCACATTTAAAAATTTAAAAATGGGCACGCAGATAAATTCCAGAATAAATACAAAATGGTTTCACTAACCATATTGATTTTCTGTGACCAAAATGGAATATCGCTATTGCTAAAGCCTACCCTCTAACGTACTTCAAAACACACAAAAAGCGAGTCCTAAGTCTCTGATTTTAACAACATTATGCTAACTGCCACAGAAGAAATCAAAATCCAATGTATCATCCAAATTGATATAAAACTGAATTTTTAAAGTCTGGCCTGCCTCTGGATATCAAATTTCAGACCTCCCAACAACCCAGGCATTTCAGCAGGGCCCGCCTTGAGGCTGGGCAGGGGTCTGAACCCCTCAGTCCTCAGGGCTGGCCTTCGAATAGCTGCTAGAACAGCCTGCTCTAAGACACAGCTGCCCTTCCAGAGCGCATCTCTGGGCACCCAGCCGAGGTTGCTCCGTAAAGACTCTATTTAAAAACCACTTTTTTAAAAAAACTATTTTAAAATTTCACCTTGATAATCTCAAAAAGCATAATTAACAAGAGAATGCTTCACTGGCCTGATTTAGGCATAACAGTATTATAACACAGCAACATAGTTTTATATATTTCCATTAAATCAACATCACGTGTCCCATTTCAAATCTTAATCTCTTAACATAAAGATATTTTGAGTAAAAAGACCTAAATTTCATCCACATGGGATTGGTTTAATAAACTATAGGGCCTTCGAACAATGAAATCCTGTCCACCTGTTTGAAAACATTAGTTCAACATTATACAAGTAATCATAAGTACTAGTGTATACAGATGCACATTTATATGCCATATTATGTTAAAAAAAGCAAGTGGAGAACCATGGTATAATTTCATTTTTGTAAAAATCCTTAAATATATGTTACTAACATATATGCATATCCGCATACACATAGAAAAAACCCGAAAGGATAAACCTGCAAACCATTACAGAGTTACCTCTGGGGTGCAGGATTTGGTGACTCAAAGGTACAGAGGACACATGTTTAATAATACGTTTCTGACATACTTGTCTTTTTTTTTTTCTATGAGTAGTTAACAACACTGTAATTTAAAGTGCAAATCTAGAAAAATAGTTAACAAAGCTGAAGGACACTGATTCGAGGTATAGTAGTTTAAAAGGAAAACGTTGTGTATTTATTGAATGCTACTATCCAGGATGTTCAGATCACCAGCCTACGCGCCTTTACAGCTTACAGTGTTTCCACACAGGTTGTTTCACGTGACTCTCACCAGCACCTCTATGAAGTTGGCGAGGTAAGTGTGTCTCCATTTCACTGACGAGGAAACAGCCACAGGGAAAGTAATTCAGTAACGAGCAGCAGAGAGCTGAGACTCCGACATGCTGCCTCCTGTTAAGAACATGGATGGCTGTCACGCTGCTCCCCAGGAGCTAGGATCCAGCAGTGACTTGCATCAGGCTTCCCATGATTAATGTCGATGCGTGTCACATCAGACACTTTATGGGGCGCGGCTGCAGACACGGAAGAGCTGAGTCCTGTGTGCACCACTACCGACATGCCGCCAAAAAAGCCAACCAGTTTCCTGTTGCTATGTGAGCACTCTGCTCCGATGAACCAAGCAACTGTCTTTAAATAAAACTCCATTCATTATCAACTATAAGACAACTATTTAAAAAGATAAAGTCAACGTATGCTTACCTCTATTGTTCCTGTGGCAAACAAGCCATGCACTGAATTTATGTCACACACATTATTCTCCCTAAACCAGTAAAGCAATGAGGAAGAAAGTATTAGCATCGACTTGAGGGAGAGGGATAATCTAAACTTTCTAAATAAGCAGTCAACCCAATTCTGCAGAGAAAGAAGACATGCAGATTCTCGCTTAACTGTATATGAAAACCACCAAGGCACGAAAGGGTTAACTGCTTGGTATATAGCCACCAGAGTTTCTGTTCCCCAGGGTGACACTCTGTCTGCCAGTGGATGCGACAAGGAAGGACTTCCTTCCGAATTTCTATTCCAGGTTCATTCTACTTCCTCAATATATCTTCTCCCAAGGCAAAAAGAACACAAGCTATAACACTGCCAACGCTAAGGCTTAACCAGGCGAGGCCTCACTTTCTTTTACTGTGATGTTCAGCACAGTGTCCAGTTTACAAGACACTCAATTACAGCTGTTATTATAAACAGGAAATGATGTGGCTAAAAAGCAAATTTTTATTATTCAAAAATGCATCATGAAGTTAACATTTTTAAAAGAAAATAAGAGCATTTCATGCCAATGTGAAAACAAAGACCAAGAATTCGCCTAGTTTTTATCACTACTTCTTCTTTCAACCTTTAAAACCTTTTCAAAGAAATAAGAAAAATGCAACAAGTTCTTCATGTACATGGATGAGAAGTGTTTCACCTTCCACCCCTTACTAGCTGTGTGACCTTGGACGAACTACTTACCCTCTCTGAGTCTCAGCTGCCCTATCTGTAAAATGGAGATAATAATAGTACCTACTGTAAAAACTTGTTATAAGTTTAAAATGAGTCAATATATACATAAAATAATAATGCCTGGCATAGCAAGCGCTTTCACTATTACTGTTGTAATGTTATCACTCAACATTATTATCATTATGACATTCATTCCCAAAGGATTTTTCTTTAAATAAAAGTGTAAACTATAATGTATAATAAAAGGAAAACTTGAAAAAAAAAATTTCTGCTAGCAAAAACATAAAAATTAAAAACTTTTAAATGGTCCAGTTAATTCAAAATTTCTCCACGGGGAAAAAAAAATCACAAAACGAAATCATGAATGAAAATCTAAAGAACACTACAAAAATTAATGAAAAAGTGGACTTTAAAAATTAAAAATTTTAAGAAATCGCCAGGTCTTTTAGAGAATTTTTTAAGAAAAAACCTGAACAATGCTCTTTTTATTAAGTAGCCCAGGGCATCGCTTAAACGCAATGCGGATGACTTGATGACAACTTGAGCGTCTGGCTCCATCTCCTGGCCAAAATAAACACAGCAGCAATCTTTAAAAGATACTCACGCAGCATCAGTTTGTAGAGGATTTAGGTAGCGTCCTTGCTCCAAGTTTAATCTATAAACTTCAGAGCTGCAAAGTAATGCATAAAATTAAAAATCTAGTTCAATTAAAAATAATTCTTAGAAATATATATACATATATCACTCATAAGGCATCACTTCCCTTTGTAAAACTAATATAAAAATGTACTCTGAACCTAAAAAATAATCACCTTATTTGTGACTTTATTCATGTATAAAAGTTAAACCACTCATGTGCCAAGGAATTGGTATTGTCATTCGGTAGACTATTATCTATAAATAACATGGATAGATCAAAAATGTATCTATATGTGTATATGAGAAAAGACTAGAAGGAAATAAAATCAAATGCTAATAAGGGCTTCCTTTGGTGGCATAATTTTTTTTCCTTTAATCTTTTTTTTATTTTCCCAATTTTCTAAAATTGATATGTATTATTTTTACAATCATATAAGAAGGTAGCATTTAAGAATAAAAAGTTTTTAAATGCAGAGTAATGAGGCTAAGAAACTGACTTTGCCACCAGTGTGACCTATTAGGCTACCCCATGGCTCTCTCTGGATTTAGAGCAATGTGCTAATATGAGTCAAGGACGCAAGTCCTAAAAGAACCAGTCGCTATGGAACCACATCCTTTGAGCAAGAGAAAGGCAAGGATCGTATGTCTTATTCTCTTAATTGTTAAGAACAGAAGTTGTGTAGGGAGGTGGAATGAAAAAACAAAGGGCGATTAGACCCAATACCTTGCGCCAACAAAGTACAAGTCACAGGATGGATAATGGTAAGAGAAATCTCTCCCGAACTTCGGTATTCTGGTTTTGTAGTAAAACCCTGACTGTGAATGGAATTCAATGTATCTGTCATTATGTAAGAAGACAATCTGAAAATTAAACAAGAAAATTAGTTTGCCGGGTTTCCAGGTAAAGTGTTTATTAGGTCATCACTGAAACTGGCAAAATAAGAAAAACTCTGATCTTCTTTCTCTCTGTAAACACACACATGTAAATACACACTTTTCCATCACGATTAACAATTGTGATTAAGAATCGAACCTCTCCAGCGCTTACTTACTGCCTTCCTGCATCCCGGATAGTTTTTCGGCAAACCTTACTTCTAACTAAAAGACTTAAAATCAATGCCCTTCATTTATCTGGCACCAACACTTAACAACCTAGAGCTCTGTTCAGTAACCAATGAGTAATTGCCTATTTTACTTAAAAATACATTTTAATCATCTCACACAGGGATTGAAAAACTTGTGTAAACTGAACTTTAATGCATTACGAAGGTATCTTTAAACTCTGCAGATGGTATTTAAAAGCAAATTTATCAACATCTAGATCAAATACATTATAAAATTACATGTCGCAAAACACATGACAAATGGCTACCACAGGCAAAAGGATAAAATGTTCTCCATGGTTTCCAAGACAATATATAAAGACAATATATAAAGCCATCAGCTTAGAAAATTTTCCTTCAAGATGACATCTGACATCACTATACAGATAAAGTTTTATATGTGATATGGAAAATTAATTTTGATATTAGACTGACCAATGGCTCTCAGTTGTTTTAAAAGATACTATGTATGTAGCATATATGTGACAAACTAAAAATATGCTAATAGAAAATGACAGATTTTATTTTACTAACATATATCCACTTTTAATTTAACTATAGGAACACCATAAAAGTTATCATAAAAATAAATTCCATTCATTCATATCTTGAAGCTAGCTAGTACAAACTAATCAAACATACCTTTGAATAGTCATCAGACAAAGTTTCAAAAGTGACAACTGAAAAATAAGAAATAGTAGGAAAAAATACAATTATCAATCCATGTTTTTAATAAAAATGCAAACTTGATGCAAAGATACTAATTCGACACAAAATTATATAAAAATGCTGGGTTTTTCTTCTGGTTTTTTTTTTTTTTTTTTTGCCCCTACATAAAACAAGAACAAAGTTGCCATATTATGTTGCCCCCAAAACACCAAATGGAAAATGAAAACCTTTATAATTTCTTAATACTGGTTAGCTAGATTTCTGCAGAACTGAAACGAATTAAAAATAGATAAATTCACAAAACATAACGATGCCTAAATTTTGCCATGGTTTTTCTGAGACGTTCAAAATAAAAGACATTAAAGAACATTCAAAAATTGCTTTAAAAAGGTAATAGTAATTTTTTACTCATTCATAATATATTTTCTAAACAAAAATAGTGAAAATAGTTGTTATTAGCAGCACATCGAGTTTTTTTTTTAAGGGTGAAGCAACAGGCTACATATCCTATTGCTTTTTCCTCTCGATCTCAAACATGAAGTCCACCTGATAAAAATATCTGAAGGTTCCCATTTCAACCTGCCCTCCATGGTAGGCAGAATTCTGAGAATGATCCCTACTGACCTTCCCTCTTGTATAGTTCCCTCCTCTGGAGAGTGTGGGTGGGGAAACTGTGACTGTGACGAGACACTGCTCCCATAATTATGTCACATTGTATGGCAAAGGGGAGATTTATAATCACATGCGTTTTCTCTGGCTGGCGGAAGGAGAAGTCGGAAGGAGAACAAGGATCCAAAGACCTGTTGCTGCTTTGACGGTGAAGAGGACCTGGTGATAGGGAATATAACAGCCTCTAGAAGCTGAGAGTGGCCCCGGAGATTTATAATCACATGCATTTTCTCGGGCTGGCAGAAGGAGTCGGAAGGAGAACGAGGATCCAAAGACCTGTTGCTGGTTTGAGGGTGAAGGGGACCTGGTGATGGGGAATATAACAGCCTCTAGAAGCTGAGAGTGGCCCCAGGATGACAGCCACCGGAAGTGGGACTGGGGTCCTACAACATTAACAAACTGCATCCTGCAGACAACCTGAACATCTGCAAGCAGATTCTCGCCCAGAGCCTCTCGTGAGTTCTACCTGGCTGACACCTTGATTTCAGCCCTGAGCAAGTACACAGAGCCTGGATGGACTTCACCTATGGAGCTGTGAGCTAATAAATGGATGTGTATGGTAATTTGTTACACAGCAAAGAAAAATAATACATAACCCATTACCGTTTTAACAAGCAGAAAAGCGGCCAAATATAAAAAGCTATTTTCTTGAATTCAAATTTGACTCCTTACTTACCTTCTGAATCTAAACACCTTTCAAACTTCAAGGATAATTGATAGGTGTCATAGCATCGAACCCGAGGTTTATATGTTCCTACAAAAAAATTAATGTGTTGTAAAACCTAAAGAACATTACTTTTCATTGTCAATATCCTGCAGGTACATTGAGTATACTTTTTGTTTGAGGTAGGACTCACTAGAACCATAACAAAGGAGAAGAATCTAGAAGCAGCCCTCCCCAACATCTCAAGGAGAAAATGAACAAGGGATATAAACAAGCAATATATACAAAATGAAATATAAGTAACTAATATACCTCGCATTCTAACGAAGTACATTAAAACAAAATCGTTTTTGTTCATCAGAATGGTACAGATGAAAAGATGGTTAACGCGGTGTCAGGGTGTTAAAAAAAGTACGTTCGTACACTGTTGGCGACCAGTATAAACTGTTACAACGTCT